TATTCTTTGTTCAGATTATTGTCTTTTATCAATGTTGTGCGAATCTCTAGTTGTTTAAAATCTTAAAATATCAGATTTCCAAAAAGGCTGAGAAACAGGCTTCTAGCAGCGGTCACGAACTAACTCTTCCTCTTCATGTACCTCAAGAAGAGCCGGCCCTCCACGGCGTGGAGCCAGGAAGTGTCAACTACCCTCACAATTATGTCAGCACTCACGGTCCCTAAAATCCTTATCAGCCTTTCACATCTTTACTCTTCAATTTTCCTTCACGTTTCTTGGTTAGTATTTCTATATTGTCTTTGATTTCTCCCAGACCTGCAACTTTCGGTAACAATTTGAGTTCACAGGATGGCACCTCTAGGCTTCTGAAACCGTGCTTAAAACTACATATTGGAGCTTCCAATGATCACACTCTCCGCCAAATCAGCCAACAAGTTTCGCTCACCGAAAATCTGACATCTCAGGACATGGAGGTGAGCTGTATTTGCAAGACACGCATACAAGACCCAGGTATAATTATTCCATAAGCCTCATCCTGACAATGTGGTGAATCCGTAAACTTCGCGTTGAGAGTTTCTGAGGATAAGATGGACGGTTTTCGTAATCTTGCTGGCACACGTATAGCACTAGGTGATAAAGTAGAAAGTTCATTACTTGACTATATCCCATTTGACAGCCGTCTGAGTGCGGTTTGACTATATGTCACAGTTAGGACCAAACATAAAAGCGAAAATCGCCGTTATCTCACTATAACCACTGCTTATGAACCCAATAACTGGAGCTCGGATGAAGTAAAAGATAAGTTTTTCAGAAAACTGTCTACTCTCCCAATGAAAGTTAAACGTTTAGACATGGTTGTTGTAGCAGGTGACTTCAATGCACAGGTGGGTAGGTTAGGTTAGGCAGGAATGCACTTTCAGAATCACAGTCAAACGAACAGATAACGGCGATCGCCTGCTACTACCGTTGTAAAACAACTACCTATTTCTGGCAAACAAGAACTTGAGACATAAGGAGAGACGTTGTTTGACGTAGTACTCACCCACCTCAACTCAACGGTGGGTATAAACAGACCAGATAGCTATCAATCATCGCTGGAAGACTGCCAATCCTTCTAAAGGATATGTTTGCACAACTATCACACGTTTGTTGACAGTTAAATGGCTATGAAAAGACTGAGATAGTAAGACCATAGAAAGGGCTGATGGACAATGAGAACTTTAAGGCTATCTTCATTAAAAAGGTGGCAGTTATTGACATGGGACATCACTCATATAGAAACCCGGTACCATCTCCAATCTGCTGTAAAATCAGTGTTGAAGACTGTAACTGACTCTCATAAAGTGGTTAGAAAGTCTCAGCAGATCTAAACAGCTTCTTATCAATTAATGGATGAGCGTGAAAGTATTCCTGCAGGCTCCAAGGGCGATGAGAAGCGGAAATAACTCAAACGTAGACTGACAAGAAGTCTGAGCAATGATCACGAGTAATGTTGGGTAGTGAAGGCTAAAGAGATGAAAAGATAGCGGCGACTGTCATTTAGACTCATCAAGGAAACTGGAACAAAACGTTCAACAGTTAGTGAGATTATAACGAAGAACGATGGGTCTGTGATTCACGTGCAAGGAAGACGGCTGTAACGATGGTCGGAACACTTCGAAGAACGGTTCAACTGGCCTCCAGGTGCTATTCCGTTACCCTTTATCCATCCAGATGCTGAATGGAACATCTAGATGGCACCCTTGACACACAGAAGTTAAGAAAGTCGTAAATAGTCTGAAACAGAGAAAGGCAGCAAGACCAGACGGACTAGTCTCTGAGGTATTTAAGGATGGTGGTCAAGGATTACAGAAATGTTATCTGGAGCTTGGGACTTAGATATGACCCTTAGCGACCGTTTTCAATCACCGATTTTCCCAGTTTTCAAGAAAAGTGATAAGTCCTCTTTTGATAACCACAGAGAAATCAGCCTGACAAACATATCGTCTAAGATTCTTGGTTCTGTAGCCACTGGACGCTCGAGTGGAGCTCGGAAACAACAAATCCGAGGAAAACAGCTAGGTTTCAGACCTAGTCATAGGTGTATCAACCAGACAATCATACTTCACCGGGTTCTGAAAAACATGCACGTTTAACAACGCCCAAACCTAGCTGTATTTCTCGACCTGAAAACGGTGTTCAACTCCGTCCAACGGAAGGCCTCATAGAACTGTCGCTGGTGCCCAGTAAGTACATCACTCTGTTGAAGGTTCTGTAGTCAAACGCCTGTAGGCATGCTAGAGCCTATGGTGAATTATTAGGTAAGTTGTGTATGCCGAGTGATGTCTCTCAAAGATGTCCACTTTCTCCATTCTTATTTAATCACAGACGAACTTATGGAAGTTTCCCTCTCGTTGTTTGACTTCACAGGGATTCATCTTATCACAGAAGAATCCTTAGTAGATTTAGAGTACGCGGATGATATGGTCCTGTCAGATGACGATCTTGACGAGAGGAAGAGCCTTCTGGACATCTTGAGTGGCAATTGGAGAATCTTTGACGTGTGTTTCATCTCACTCAAATGTAAATTGCTACTCCAGGACTGGTCTTCAGTGGTGCCTTTTCTAACAATAGTGAGTGAAGTGGTCAAACGAGTTGACCACCTCACTTTGCTGGTAAGACCAGATCTGGTGGATCGGTAACCAACAAAATATCGGCACGGATACAGAAGGCTCGATTGGCTTTCGCTAACTTACACTATTCATGGTGCCACCGTGATATCTGATTGCCGACTAATAGATGTGTTTATTATGATACCATCCGCTTTGTTATACTACTTGTCTATGAAAGATGATCATTAAACATAGAGGATATGGGGAAGTTTCAGGTAGTCGACCACCATTACTTTTGTAGAACGTGTCATATTGTCACCGCGTTAGCAGTGTAGAAGTCAGGCGTAGAGTTTTGGGCAGAAAATAGAAGTCAGTTGATGAGGCAATGGACCTTTATAGGTTAACGTGGCTGGGACATGTGTTACACATGCTTAGTCACCATGTGCCTCGTCGCACAATGTGAGGTGAACTAAGCTTAGGCTTGAAAAAAGTTAGAAGTAGCCAGATTTACAGGTTTGTAATTGAGGAAATCTACCAAAACGTTGTCGATTGTAGAGATTGTCTTTAAGTGTGTTCTGGCAAAAATAACAGTGGAGAATATTTGAAACGAAAAAGAGACAGATATAAAGTATAAATGTAGTAAATACTCAAGGTAAGGACAGGATTTAAACTTATAACCATGTCTACGAACAGAGTCGCAAAATAAAATTTGTGACTAGTATCCTCAGCAGAAAAATAGTTTTTTCCAGGCTTGTTCATACAGTAAGTCAAAACACCTAGAAGTTACTAAGATTTAGAATATCACTATAGACTTTCAGAAATTTCTCAGTGCCTCCCTTTTTACGATAATTTTGCTGATTCTGGGTAGACATGGACTTCGGTAAACAATATATTCAATCAAATTCAAAATCTAATAAATCATTTCTTGATAGGCATCAAGATATTAGAAGTTGAAGACGACTTCGTTTTATGAATAGATCACTGGAGATCCGAGTTTCTTTGGTGATAAGTGACACAAGTAGTGCACTACATTTTTAACTGCATACCCTCATATCAAGTTCACTCTTAATCTGTTTTATTAATCTATATGCAACAACAAAACGTTGATTCCCGTCACTTAGCTTACTTTAGTTGCGCGGCAGAATCATGTTCATTAAAATCGAATATAGCTAACATCGGTAAGTTTTACCATTCGATATGAAATCAACAGATGTTAGCGGAGTCTACATATATTTTTACAGATTCTAATATCTTCCAAGGTATCTAATAGACTATCATATTGGACTTTTAGAAGGTATTCGGAAGATCACATCAGAAACGCAACTTTGAGAGTCAAATAACTGATGACTGGCCGTGACTTTCTAACTGCCGACACTTTAGAAAATAAATAATACTGTCGTATTGTGTTTTGCATCAAACAAAAAAAATCTCAAATGAAATTACAAACGGTAATTATTTGAAGTGACTGGAACAACAGTTAAAGATTAAATTCTATCCAACTGAAGAATGTTTCACACAACTCATATGAAATTAAATTGCTACGACCTTAAATAATAAGTAAAGATGAGGTCTTTCCACCAAAATGTCATGTTATTCATAATTTTGTTGCTTAAGGCTAAAACTAATATGTTTTATGCATAACATCAAGAGAAAAATGCATAGTATCAATACAATAAGTGTTTTTTGATCACACCAAAATTTTCCGAACAAATTCTAGTCAACTACAGAACACACTACAATGAAGAATGGATCTTGAAGTGCACAAAAGTAGATGGTAAGGATGAATGAACTGAACAAAAGATAAACTTTGAGACAAAAGCTTATACTACTTACACAAATATAAGTAACACGGATACAGTCCCAGAAAATGATTTATCATAAAAAAATATGTGTACAGTCGAACTCATACAGTTGAAACGACAAAAGAAAATATACACGTTGAACAGATAACGAAAATAAATGATGTAAATAATTTCAAAAGACAAAACTAATAAAATCATTAAAAATACTCAAATTTAAACACTAAAATGAAGAATAGAGATTTCTTGTTTCTGCATACGATAAACAAATTCATCACAGATAATATATATGAAGAATAATAAAATAAACTTAAAGGATATTAGACATTAGAACTGAAAGAGTAGAATGCAACACTGAAATCGACAAAGAGTATAACGAATACGAGTTGAAATAAAGTATACCAATACATGAAATGCTGTACTCTATTACTCGGAAGTAAAATAAAGTTGATAGCAGTATATCCGTTAGTGTGAACAGTGAATGATGAAGCGAATATTTCTATTTTACTTCGTTCAGTTAGGTAGAACCAGTGGAAACTATAATTTGTTTAAGAAGTTTGATTAGGTAGAAAACATACAAAGATATGTAATAGTGATGTATATATATATTTTATGCGCTTACACCACCATTCTGAAATACTGGTGGTTCAGAATTCATATTCACTGAATGACTACTTGATTCATGTACTTGATTTGATTTTGTCAGTGTTTTATGCAGAGTCTGATTTGTTATCTTACACTCTTGACAAAGAGAATTCAATATACGTTCATGATTTAAGCGTAGACTTGATATTTCTAATCCCATTGTATTTAGATTTTCCTTGAAAATTAGGAAGTACAAAAAGTTAATAGGAAACACACTGCAATGCTTAATTACATGACATGAGAAAAGATAGAGCTAAAACATAATGACAGATACATTTACGGTTCCTAATATCTTCACAAGTAGATTTATCATTTGTTTTAGATCTTTATTTCGGATAGAGAACAAAAACGTTTCAAGCTAAAACAGCTTAACCTTAAAGTGACTAACTCCAAGTCATAATCCTTTTTGGCTTCAGATGAAATCATCGAGATCGGAGAAAACTCTTTCAGATCGAATAATTAAATTCACCTGTTTGTTAAATGTAACGGAGAAGTATAAGCATATGTACTAGACTAATACTAATGTAATCCAATCAGCTCGGGTAACCAAATGCACGGTCGTGTACCTAGGGTTACGACCCAAATCTATTGTCACACCAATGACAATTACAATACCTGTGTAAGACTTGGGCACTGTGGCAGAAGGTAATTCCATATCACATTTGTTTATTTCACCTGTAGTACACAGTGATACAGTATTATTTACGCACAATAACACAATAGGGTGGGATAAAAACCATTGTACTGCGTCCATTATAAGTAGATGGAGAGAGATGATTATTGACGCTTTGTTCATCGAATCTACACCCAACATATGTAATAGGAATGAAATAACACCTATACCAGAGATATGGAAAATTATACTACCGATAAAAACAAATAATATGAGGTGATGTAACTATGAAAATCAGATCTCGAAAGGAGTGTGATTACATTGATATGATTATGAGTAATAATTTATGCTCACAATATCGTTATCAAGTAAATAATACTGTATCACTGTGCCCTATATATTAAATAAACAATTCTAGTATGGAATTATAATATCTGACTTCCTACACATCAGTTAATCAAACGAGAGATGAACCTGTGACCCACTGCTTTATACATTATGCGGACACGTAATCATTTGAATAATTACGAATTGGTACTTTTCTCAGTGTGATGCAAATGAACAAAGGGACTGCTTGTAGAGGAACTACTGATTCGTAGTAGTGGCCATCAGTAATTCCACATGGATTACTAATGTAATTAAGTAAAGAGATAAGGCTAATCATTAAGAAAACGTAGAGACAACAAATCCTACTAAAGCTCAATACAGCATAAAGTTGTTTTGGTTTACTAATATAAAAGGGGGATAATGAAGCCGTAATACTGTAATGGATGTTACTCGTAATTGTATCCAATAAACATTTCTAGGTACAGAAGTCACTCTGGGCAAAACAAACTGATCGGATCAATCTAAAAATTAACACAGAGGCGTATCACTGTAGGTTATCATACTTTGCAAACAATACAGAGAGAGAAAGTGAACGTGAATTGAATAGTGAGAGGAAGACAGCATTGATAAAACATGTTGTAGTCACTTCAGTTGGTACAGGTCGACAACTCCGTCAACTGCCTTTTCTTCTTTGCTTAACATTTTGAATCTAACATCAACATCATCCACTCTGTGTTTCCAAAAAAAATAAACTATGTTACCACAAACAACTGTGACTGAAAACCTGTAAAACCATATATTGCCTATATACTTAAACTCTTGGCAAACAATTTAGCTTTAAATAACAAAGTGGGTGATAACCGACAGACAAGTATATACTAACAATATAAGACTTGATATTGGCGCGTGTTAAATAACAATAAAAATAATGATATAAGTAGTAAGTAAGAAGAAGTTAAAAAGAAATCATGACATCTAATCGAAAGCTTTTCAAACGTTCATGTGATTATAAACGGCTTCTGAAATAATTTGACAGAAGGTAATAATAATCTCCTTCGGCAGAATAGAATGTCTCTGAATCGCTTGAAATGACAAATGCTATACATCATATGCATGAAAATACGATACTTTTAATGTTTGGTAGAAAATACATAATACACACACATCAGTGATTTAAGGAGATGTAATGAACGAAACCATGGTGAAATAATCAGTGTTAACTTCTATTTATGCATGGTATTATGAAAACCTTAGAATTAGAAAGATAGACAGTGAATTAAATAGATAAACCAATAGTTATGGTTAGCATTTATAAAAAGTGGGTCAAACATTCAACTAATAACCACTGGATCAAAATTTCAATACCCACCAGAGTTATAACATTGTAATGCCTTTGGTGTTTTATAAAGTTTCTGGTGTAAATCAATACTTTTTTTTTCTTAATGATGGTGGACTACCTACATCGTATGGATACTTTTATGTACATTCAACGAGTTGTTACACATGAAACAGTGAAAAATTTATTGTAATTATCTTACTTTCAATGAAATATTCTTGAATATTGCATCCTCCAGCAAATTTTGAAGTTTCTTATTATTTTCAAGGTGATAAATCTCTGAATGTGTAACTTTAGTTGTTTTAATACTACTACCAGTCAACGAAGATATGATTGAATTTTGTTTATAATTCATAGTCTGAGTTTTCTTGTTTTGATTATTATCACTAATGAATGAAGTTATTGATTCACACCATTTGTTTGTTGAAAGCAGAAGACTCTAGAAAAGAACCAAAGGTGAAAACATGATACAAACACCGACCATTATATAGCGGTTCAAAGTTGAATGATTAATAATTACATAAGAAGCTGGAAAAAAACTGATATCATATTTTTGTGGCGACTCACTGACCAAGTCATGAAAAAAGCACAGAATAGTCTAAAGAAGATATTGCAACAAGTTAGCATAATCCGCCGCTTAATGCGAGATTACCATCAAAAGCGTACAGTTATGTACACAATCATGTGTTACTATCTTCCGAAAAGTAACTGAAGTTGTTTCTGTAAGTAAAATAGAATTCCTGAACTGATTTTTTTAAACATAGAGACAGCTACTTGAATAAATCTAAATGCTGGTAAACCTATTTCATTTTTTCACAAACAATTTCATCTCCACAAACGGTGCATGTATAGTATAAGTCTTTAATACTCCCCTCTTACTGACATAACCAATTTGCGAAAGTGGAGCAAAAGACATCCTGGTACTGATCCCAACACCAATCGTTGACCTAAAAACCACTTAAAATATTTTGTGTACTTTTATATTCTTAACCAACTTTTCTGTTAGATGAGATGTCTGGAGAATATCTCTAGCTCAGGTGGATGGTCTTGGTTGTATTGTGTTCTCTGAGCTGGGTTGTTTAGTTGTGGGCTTTCATCGTCTTTATAGACAACATCTTCAGCATTAACTTCATACTGAGCCATTGGGTTGGAATGCGATGGTCCATACTTCCAACTTCTGTCAGTTCACGATACAATGCGACCATCATCGTTGAGTACTTGTCTTCACAGCCACTACGTTTACCCTCCCCCTTGTTCACGACCTCTCATTGGAACATCAAGAATCATTTCTCGAAGCTAGTCACCAATGAGCACTAGATCAATTGAATTTGAGGGTCTGTGGGAATTTAGTGATTTTTCAGTAAACATTTTCGTGAACTGGGAGAGTGAATAGGCATTTGTATCGTTACCTTTTCTTACGGTAACCCATCTGGACGTAATTGTTGAAAATATGACTACATGACAAACTAGGAGATGATATAATCTAATTGACTTGCTATCTGATTGTCTGCCAAATAAAATTGTTTCTAAATCGGCGTTCGTACCAGTCAGTAGACACTTGGTGTAACTAACTAACAGGTGCATTATGCGCATTTCACTCCCTTATATCTGTCGTAGCTGGTGATCGGCTACAAAATAATCGCAAGCCTACTAGGACATGAGGTACAAACTACGCAGTCGTGAGTAACTGATGAAAAAGAGCCAACGTCATGATACAATCACTCGGTACTTTAAAACATTACAATTCCTGAACCGTTAGATGGTCTGAGACTCCATACTGCACTACTGTTACCAAGAACACATGTATTTACGGGACTTAATGAACACAAAACGTGAAGTGGGAATGAATATAAGCGGTAGATGGAAGACATTTTCAGGTACCTGGATAATTCTACTCTTTTTGTTTATTTCTTCTGTTAGTTGATAACAGTGTTCTTGGAAAAATTCAAGTTTATCCGTTAACTTCACTTGAATGCGTTGAAGACGATCAATTTTTGTAAAAATGCGTCACGTTCTGAACACTTGAGATTAACTGAAGTTTCATCGAGTGCCTCTTCACAATTTCTGTCATCGTGATTGCTATTATTTGATTCTGATGATGATGGAGAATTACACCGACCAGTTACCAATCTATGTGCTACAGACGAAGGGCTTGCAACCTTATCATCCTCAATCTTATCAACAGTCACACACAAAAAATAAAGAGAAAAGAAATAACAGGTGATTGTAATATTAGAATATGTCACAAGTAAAATACTGAAACGATACTTTTTTGACTAACAACCGTCTGAAAGTTAGCTAAAGGTACATGAATTCTCATTGATGTTTTTAATCATATATTTAAATGTTTGTGCCAGCTTCTATGTTGATCTTCTGGTTCACAGCAACAGTAGTAGTTATCATCCTAGGAGAAATTCTCTCGTTAGTATTTAAAGTACATTACGACTGATCTGGCAACCTACTTGAACCTTAGGCTACCGAAAATTTTCTACAGAATTTATTTCATCAAATCTATGCCTTTTAATTTGTTTTAATCTTATAAATGTCTTTTAAAAATGTCAAGTACTTCGGCACAATTTTAAACTGGTTTCAAACTGCCGTTTTTCAGGCTAACAGTAAAACAAAAAACAAATGATACACCGGTCAGAAATGGGCTTATAAATGTAAAGAAATACAGTATACTACTGCTCTTTGGATAACTATGTCGAAGTTTAGATTTTGGTACCGGCTGAATAAACTACCACCGCCAAAATTACGCTCGATATTCTATTCACTCATTAGTCCAAACCGAATGTTAATGTAATACCAGGTGCCTGTTTCACACTGTTACTATTATTATTAACACTATCCATCAAATGTAGTGATTATTTATGTTAAAGATATTGGATAGGGAATGAATTTGTTGAACTATAACATGCTGAGAATTCCGAACTGTATCACAGGTCTTGTTTGGAATAAAGTTATTATTTTTATTGTGTCATCATTAGTAAACTCTCACTAAACATCCTCTCATTGATTAATTAAAATCCAAAACTGATAATTCTGACTTGATTAATTTATAATTACAATTAGATTCAATTTCATGAAATTCAGCCGGTGATCAGTAATCTGCATAACTATTTTACCGTCAATGATATGAATACAGATATTTATTACCTTATACAATGCTATGATCAAATTACAGTTTAATAAACTATGAACAAAACCCGTTTACCTGGAAAATTATACACTTCAAACCAAAGAGAGCAATGTTCATGAACTAGGAATTAATGAAATCTGATTAACTGACTCACTGACAAAATCAATGTACATCCTTGCACATAAATGCATCGACACAAATTGCCACAACTCACAGTAGTACACAAAGAACAGGTGGATAAAAAATCAGTGATATCAAAGTAGATAAACTTGTGCAACAAAATAACAATCTAAAGTTAACGGTCAGTGTATATATTCAAGCCTTATATGTCACAAGGGTGACTACATCTGCGCCACATTATGACACGTCATTCTCAGCCATGTCATCAAGAGTCCTCAACCACTGATTCCTTTCATCTCCAAGACCCTAATCATACCATACAGTCTACATCTCCGTATGTACACGATTCAGGTCAACAGTGAGAGACTTCATCCACTGGTGCCATGTTTTGGTCCGGTAACCCTCAAGCTTCTTCCAATCTAATCCAACTTTTCCCAGTATGGCACGCCGAAGTACGCGGTGGTTTGACATGCCCAACACATGTCCAAGCCAACTCATTCGATGAAAGTTCACAACCTCATTAATTGACTTGACAGTTTTTTCTAGTACCTTTTGCCTGATCTCAACATTGCTCACACGGTGATTCCAACAAATCACGAGCAATGCAACGAAGACATAGGATTAAAACGCTGTCTTCTACTTTCAGCGGTTAAATATCACGGTCGGATAACAGGACAGAACAGAATGCAGTGCAGCATACTCGTTCCTTGATAGATAGTCGGATACCTTGCTAGTCGGCACTAGAGGTGACACAATTTGGCAAATCCCAAAAGGGTCTTCTGTATACGAGTTGAGATCTCGTCAGCAACCAGCCCATTCTGGCTGATGCAACTCCCCAAGTAAGTGAAATGGTCAACATATTCCACTATTTCACTCCCTATCACTAAACTGGGAGTCGTTGCACACCAGTCCTGAAGCATCATCTTACATTTGACAGGTGGGAAACGCATGCTAAACGCACTCAGATTTCCGCTCAACGTGTTCAGAAGATCCTACATTCTGTCAACGTCTTCCATTGTACCTGATTCGTTTGCTCACTGTCCACAAGAAAGGATAGCTACAGTGTCCAAGTTTACATTTATATAGCATTAGTAGGTTCAGCTGGGAGTGTCTAAATGAAGAAAGAAATTCCAACTTGTAACAAGAATGAAAACAAAGATAATATAACATAGATAATTGCTGAATGAATGAAGAAATCGAGAGATACAATAATAAGTAAATCTAAAATTAAATCAAGAATAAAACAGCGTGAGTTGATATATTCAATGCATTCAAATTATCACACATATTCCGTCTCTCTACATCTCTATTATGTCTGTTAATTCTTGAAGGAGGTTTGTCAACTTCCATACATTATATGCAAGTGACCAAGTATGTGAAGTAAATCTGACCGCCAAAATTACCTTTTCGTTTACAGATTAAGCACGAAAAGAAACTCCTAAGTATCACTATCAGAATCCGTTGATTCATTTGTTACTTACTACATACTTCAACTTGAAAATCCTTTAGATGATCATATAAACACTTGAATGAGTTAACTCGAAAAAAAGTAAATGGATTATTTTGTGCTAGTTTTATGTGCAGTACATACTCTCCACTTGGTGTAGGATCAAACCCATGATCATTACACATCTTACAGCGATCACATCTTGGTTGAAATCCAATGGTTAACATTTTCTAATTTCTGTCGATTAACGATACATCACAACCGTCGTCCAATGTCAACGGTTCTACATTGATTTTTTCAGCTTCTATCATGTGTACTAGGTGAAATAGCAAACCACATATAGAAGATTAGATGGTTTAAAACAATCTTGCTTGTGTTCACTTTAAGACCAATATTTATTAAATATCAAAGCATTGAGCTTTGTATTATCATTATCTGTCCTTTCCAAGACCATGATAGATGGTATTCAAACATTCTGCGATGAACTTGGCTACTTTTATGCTCTTTGTATATCTGAACAATCCGTCTTTTATTTTAAATACAGTTGCACTGTAAAAAAAGTCCCTGGTTGAAACATCCTATATATATATATATATATATATATATATATATATATATATATATATATATATATATATATATATATATATATATATATATATATATATATAAGAATATGTATCAGCTAAACAAAAATAGAAAAACAGCGGACATGCTCACACCACTACTGCAGAAGATCTGGAAGGAAGGGAAGGTACCTGCAGATTGGAAGAAGGGGTACCTTGTCAAACTCCCAAGGAAGGGCAACGGGAATTTTCGCAAGAACTGGCGAGAAACTATGCTGCTTTCCCTATCCACCTAAACCAAAATATTAAGCCGCATCATCATGGAGAGACTAAAAGATGCTCTCGATTCAAAATTACGACCGGAACACGCTGGCCGGCTGGATTCAGAAAGAACAAATCATGTGTGGATCAAATTGTAACACTACGCTACGCATCATCATACAACAGATCATAGAATGGTAGTCAACTCAACTTTATCGACTTTGAAAAGGCCTTCGACAGCGTCGATCCACAAGTAATTTGGCAGTTGCCTCAACAATACGGAGTGCCACAAATCTTTTTCAATCTCATTCAACAGCTATATGAAAAGGCTACATGCCAAGTGATCCACAATGGAAAGCTCAGTGACGCCTTTGAAGTGGAAGTGAAGACAGGAGTAAGACAAGGCTGCCTACTATCACCCATAATCTTCTTGATTTTGGTGGACTGGATCATGCAGCAAACCGTGAAGAGCGAAAAGAGGGGCATAAACTGGACCGATGAAAAGATACTGGAACATTTCGATTTCGCCGATGACTTACGTCTAATGTCACACAAAGTCGAAGATCTACAGGCGAAAACTAACAGGTTGACAGAAGAAGCAGTGAAGACAGGACTTCAAGTGAACGTAGAAAAGACGGAGGTGCTGAAGATACCCAACAAACAACAGCATCAACAACAAGCACCAATCATTATTAACGGGAGACACCTAAAGGAAGTAGTCTCTTTCACCCACCTAGGCAGCATCGTTTCAACTACAGGCGGCACAGATGAGGATGTCAAAACAAGGATCGTAAAAGCAAGACAGGCTTTCATTATTCTGAAATCACTGTGGGGATCTGCTGCACTCAGCATGTGGAACAAGATCCGGATTTTCAATACCAATGTCAATTCAGGGCTGCTATATGGTTCAAAAACTTCGTGTGTCACGAAAAACATTTCCAACAAACTACAGACATTCATCAACAGCTACCGCTTACGCTGGCTCGATACTGAAGGTCAGATGGATTGCCAGAAAGAATAAGCAACAAAGAACTCTGGATGGCTGGCTGGCTGGCTGGCAACGAACCAACCAACAACCTATCACTCAACAAATATGCAGAAGAAAGTCGAGATGGATTAGGTTGCGCATACACTCAGAAGGCCGACTGCGGACAGCATGCGCCAGGTCAGGTTGTCGAGTGGAATCCAAACGGGAAACGACGAGTTGGGCGTCCGAGGTGAGGGTGACATGGATGAGATCATGTGAGGAAGAAATGAAAGCTTGTTGGTAGTCGTGGTGCCAGGTCCAAAAGACTGCAGAGAAGAGAGTGCAATGGAGGCGTGCTACTGAAGCCCTATGTTCCACTAGGAACCCAAGAGAAAAATAATAATAATAATAATAATAATAATAATAATAAACAAAAAGAGATTTTCTACCTTTGTACCGTCTGTTTTTATTATTAGACAATGGGTATGGATATAGTGTTGAATACCTTGGGTTCACAAAGTTATTGACCGACTACTCATAATTTGCTCCACCTGGTGAACATTTCGGATATCAGGTAGGAAGAATACCCAAAGTATCCCCGACGCTCAAGCACAAAGAATAGTTTATTAGAATGATGATAACAAAATTGTTTTAAAATAGGCATTAGAATTAGCTGACTCTTCTTGAAATTTATCCAAAAATGCATCAAATATTACAGTACTTTTAGGAATAAATATGAAAGAATTTTTTATTAGGGATGGAATAACTTTATACTTACCTCTGCTGGAATTTGATTTAGATCTAAAGATTTCAATGAACCATTTAATGAATTTGTAAATGATTTTGAAGTGGAATTTAAGTCATCATGTAAATCTGTAGACTGAGAACTGGCAATACGATGACAACATTCTAGTTGATTAACCTTATTATAATGATATAATAAACGTGTCACTTCTCTAGTTATATCTTTTATTCGTGCAGCATCACGTTTGTGAATGGTTGTAGCACGTTGTTTTTCTTCTTTCAGTTGAATTCTAAGAAGATTCTCGGAGTCACTGAGCTGATTAAGCTATAGATTTCCAAAACACAATAAACAAATCAAGCAAACAATGTTATCAACTTCTGTACAATACTACTGAAGTAAAGAAGTATACTCAATTGTACACATTTTATGTAATTGAAATTATAAACACAGCCAGATATAAGCCAAAGCGTTAGAATTTTTTACTGTAAATTAATGCATCGTAACTCAATTAAATCAAATATACGTATGTAGTGGGTAAATGAGTACTTAGTAAAGAATGAGAAGCAGCCGAACAGACAAAATTAAGGTAGAACCATGTACAGTAGAGTATCGGTTAAGGTTGTAACACTTTAAATGCAGTAGGCAAACAACAAGGGGACTATAAAGAAATGATATGAAAGTACACAAAAGTGTATGATGGGAGAAGGAATCTGAAAATCAAGGTTAGTGGAAATATTTAAACTTTAGAAGACATCAAAGAGTGAATATTTCCGCAATATCTCTAACTAGAAGTTTACACCTCTTTACACAGCTCAAATCAATAGTCAGAGATTTCATTGATTTGTGTCACATTTTGGTCCGACCACCCTAAACCTTTTTAAAATCAAATCGTACTTCGGTTAGTATTGTACATCAAGGTAGTCGGTGGATCATCATACGCAACACCTTTTCAAGTTGTCTCGGTTGTTGAAAATTCACAACTTCGTCGACTGACTTGCTTTCATTGTCTATTACCCAATACTTATCCTTTTCATTGTTAACACAGTGATTCCAACACACGAAAGTAATGCTATGAAGAAGCATGTGATCAAAACTTCTGAAGTCTTCGTATCTTTCATCAGTGCTTTGTATCTTAACCCTGTTGTTACAGGACGAAGTGAAATACTGCATAGTATACTCATCTTTAACAAGTAGTTGGACTTCTTACCGGTGCCGGAGATGACACAAGTTAGAAAATGTCAAATAGGTCTTATTTATCCTAAATGATGTGACATCAGCAATCAGCCCATTCCTGAAGTAAATGAAGTAGTCAACTAAACTGTTGAAGGTATTCAATTTATAAAAAGAGAATAAAATATAGAAATCATGTTCATAGACGTTCTTTTCAGAGGGACACATGATATAACCTCACAAACTCAAGTGTACAGGAAGGTGACACACACAGATCAGGTCTGGAACAACGACTGTGACAAACCAACATCTCATAGGGACAGTTATGTACAAGCAGTATTCGCACGCGCTAAAACTCAGTGCAGCACTCAACAACTACGAAAGTCAGAAGAAGACAACATCTATAAAGTGTCCAATCAATGTCTATCCAATCTACTTCATTAAGGAATGTCTATAAACAGAACATGCAACAAGATGATTACCTCAACCTACAAAAAAGAATCGCTTTACCATGTTTCAAAGATTTCTGAGAAATTGTCAATTGATTACTTCATCTATTCGACATCAGTATGTCCTACAAACAAACCAAATCGCTGCAGAATATCTTATGCAAGCGAAAGCGCCCATTACCCAAAGAAGACAAGACGAATGTAATCTACAAAATTAGTTGTAAAGACTGGCAACATCACTATGCTGGTCAATTCAGACGTCAAGTAGCCCAAAGAATGTATGGGCATCAACTTGTAGTCAAACGGTATGATGCATCATCATTGCTACCAATTGGGACAAAATATAAGTAAGTCCAAAAACTGCAAGAGAATTCCCGGAAGCTAGTACTGCAAACAAATGGTAATCAACAAACATGTGGACACTGGGCCAGTGTACAGACTACTACGAATGGCTTAGTCAACTGGAAATCAATAATCAGACACTAGAGTAACAGTAAAGGTTAAATGATAATAACAATTATAAAGGTCAACCTCTGATAAAAAGGATAGATTTTCCCTGCCTACAAACCAATAACACCCAAGATTAGTACGTATCTCTTATAAACGTTCATGTAACCTGAAAATGCTTCACTCTAACTAAAATGAGTGCTGAAGTGGCTTAAGTTGATGAAAAAACATTCAAGAAGAAGTCTCAAAGTTTTTAGAACACCGAATAACTATCATTCTCATCCTGAGCTATGAATCTCCTATACTATCTGGAAGGGGGTTTAAGTAACCAAAAACGATATACTGTTTTTTAGATAATGAAGAAGAAAATCATATAACATCTTCCTAAATTATTCCTGACACAGCTAAATTTATGCACACTAATCAGATACAATGAACATGCTATATTCATATACCTCAACAGACAAATCATTGAATTTCCTTTGTAGTGTATTCATTTTCACTTCCAAGTCATTACGTTCACTTTCATACTTCTCCTTTAGTTGTACAATCTCTTCGTCTTTTTTGACCAACAAATTTCTAGTATCTTCAAGTGAGTTGAGTGTGACCAAATGTTCAGCTTGTAAATTTGCATGACGTTCAGTTAAACGACGTGTAAAATCTGACAACTGATCAACACGACCTTTACATGATTGTAATTCTAATTTCATATCACCAGCGGATGATAACTCGCTGGTAAGTCTGTTTAAAGGCGAAAGGAACAAAGTGATTCACAATCAAGGATACTATTTATATAAGTATGTGCCAGTTAGCAAAATAAAAAAAGATTGGGTAAGAACAAATAGATTCGTTTATTACACTGCAACCGGTAAAAAAAAGCAATTCATGATGTAACTTAGATTCAGCAAATCCGAATCCATTATCTTCTCGACGAAGGTTAAATTCCCAAACGACCGCTAGAAAATGATCGGATATAAGCTGCACTCCAACTGTTTACTTTTTGTGAAAATATACAAGCTTCTTAAGGATGCATACGTGTTAAACACAACTTCGTTTTCATAGCATTTATGCTTTAGCGTGTTACTTATAAACCCCTTTACAGATGATATCTCACATACAAAAGGGTGATTGTTTTTGCTGCCAGCTACAATTGCAAATAGTTAAATAAAAAGTTGCGTTTTTAATTGTCAGGTACTCGGAAACATTTTTTAAAAATCTGTACTGCCTATCCACTGCTGAAATAATAATACATCAACAGTCGTGTACATAAAAGTTGAGGTGGACAGGACAGACGAGATCGTTAGTTGGAGACTCTGGGTGATAGATCACAGTCGATAGCAGTTAATTTCGATGCTTTCACTTCTTATCTTCATCTTAACCATTAGATCCCCTTGTATTTTCGTCTAATCACTTTCCATGGCTTTTACGTATAATATCTCTATCCTCTCATTTTTTGTCACATTACCTGCCTAGTACATTGATTCACTGACGGCATTGTTAATTGGAACGCTGAGCAGTAACGTTGACTGTGGTATTGACACTGACTGACTGTATTCATGTCACTTACGAACAACAAGTGACTTTCTTATAATCATTTCTTCTCGGTTTCGTTCCATGGACATAATTGAAGTAGGTGAAGTCACTCGTACCGAATGACGCTTGAATCGAAGGAAGTACTATACTTATAGCTTGAGTAATGTAAAAGAGAAAAATGAAAGATACACACATATGTGGATAGCAATCACTAATATGACAATCGAAGCACATCTCTAAACAACGATTCCGACCACGTGGCTAAATGGCAACGTGCTCAGATGATGGTTCTTGGCTTGATAACTGACAAAATCAATGTACATCCTTGCACATAAATGCATCGACACAAATTGCCACAACTCACAGTACTACACAAAGAACGGTAGATAAAAAATCAGTGATATCAAAGTAGATAAACTTGTGCAACAAAATAACAATCTAAAGTTAACAGTCAGTGTATATATTCAAGCCTTATATGTCACAAGGAATGACTACATCTGCGCCACATTATGACACGTCATTCTCAGCCATGTCATCAAGAGTCCTCAACCACTGATTCCTTTCACCTCCAAGACCCTAACCATACCATACAGTCTACATCTCCGTATGTACACGATTCAGGTCAACACTGAGAGACTTCATCCACTGGTGCCATGTTTTGGTCCGGCCACCCTGAACCTTTTTCTAATCTAGTCCAGCTTCCCCTAGCATGGGACGTTGAGGTAGGCGATGACTCGGCATGCGTAGTATATGCCCAAGCCAACTCAGTCGACTAAGGTTCAAAACCTCATCGATCGACTTACTTGTCTTTCGTAGTGCCATTCTCTTGACCTTAACATTGCTCACACGGCGATTCCACTAAACGTGACCAATTCTACGAAGACATCTGTAATTAAACCCAGTAATCGCTTCATATCTTCTACTTTTAACGACTGCCTTACAGCCGTACAATAGGACAGAATGAACTGTAATGAATATGCTCGTTCTTTGATAGATAGTCAGATATCTCGCCAGTCGACGCCACAGATGACGCAAGTTGTCAAATGCCTAACGAGCCTTCTGTATCTAAGATGAGATTTCGTCAGCAACTAGCCCGTTTGGACTGATGCAACTCCTCAAGTAAATGAAGTGGTGGATACATTTCTAGGCTTGATACTTCACATAGGTTTCTGGCTGTGAACTATTGAGAAGCCTCATACTGGACAAAACAGTCATCTGGTGCTCCCAGGATTTCGATGGTTTCTTTCAGCTGATATCACTTCATAATGAGCACTACCTTGAGATAAAATCAGTTCTGAAATTCAAAGAATTTGTAGGATAGTTTTACAAGAATTTAATGTTTTTTTTAAAAACAGTCTTTTAGAAGTTTATTTGTTTTGAATATTGATTGATCTGCTTATTTTGCAGCTGTGTAAACAATGTTTGAGGGCAACAGTCAACCAGTGGTAAATTTAACCCAGTAATTAATCATTCTTATTCACCTTTAAATTTGACTACACTCCTTCGCATGTCATTTCAGAGTTGGCATACTTTCAACATATTTTGGTGAAAACACAAATTATTGGAACTAATACGAGGCATCACAACACTGTTAATAACTAATTGACTGGAATGCTTCACTATGATAACACCTCGGGAATTCATGAGGTTTCCTGGAACGAAGATTCACTCTCATTTTCAACTGAAAATAAGAATATAAGCATCCCTAATATATGGTAAGTTAGCATCAGAATCTCTGGAAAATTACATGCTAAGAAAATCAGAGAAATTAACTGAAAAAAATTTGACACTAATTTCAAACCAAAACAAAAATACTGGTCTACATTTTTTTCATTTAAGAATTCCTAAGTAGTTTGTGTTTTACTTTCTACAGTTAGTGTACAAGTATGTAAACTTTCTAGACAGGAATTACGGTGAGAATTAATCCTGTGAACCAATAGATGAAGGTTGATTGCTTAAACTATTTAGTTGCGGATAGAGAGCATTTCCTACCACCCGAAGGATTGATTTGGTGTACATTCGGAGGATATATGTAAGAGCATACAATTTAGTTCTATAACTTTGACACTGGCCTGTATCATATTATAAAACACCAACAAAATAACAGTTGGAACCCAAGTCTTTTGATATAGTCATCAATAAAAACAATGGTTCAAATTTAGGAAAGTTTAACTGCCCTCTCTCTCGTTTCCTCTCAAGCTGGACGAATATTCAACCCATGATCCTCCAATCATAAAATTACAATCGGTATCATCTAATTTCAGTTAAGTATACATCCTTTCTGTCCACCTATATAACAAATACTATCAGGACCATCTACATTAGTTAAACAATAAGCATCGTTCAAAATTTTGTGATAAATTATCATCATCTCTCAAGTAATGAAGAATCATTTTTGAATTTTACGTAAAACGTTTAACTGAAAGTAGTCAACGCCTACTGACTTACTCATCAATACGAGATTGAGACTTTTCAAAATCACACTTAACACTTTCTAAATCCATTACTTTTTGTTTAAGAGCATCGTTTTCAATTTTGAGCTGTTTTAAATTTGTTTGAGCTTCTTGAAGTGCAACCTCTGAGCACAGACGTTCTGCTTCACGCTCACGAAGACGTTCAGCTTCCTATGAAAATTTAAAAATACAACGAGACGATAAGAAGTAATTGTTTGCAAGTCAGTTGAGACGATATTCATAAATCTCATCCTTATTCACACTCCAAATAATAAAATTACTGACAGATTAGAAAAAAATATAACTCGGTATAATAAAACATCATTTTTAGTTAATGCATTTCCCAACATCACATCCATGGGGGTTGCATATACGCTGACGAGTCCCAAAAATCACAAAACCTAGGTCCAGGGCTTTCTGTCGACTGCCTCCATCCAACTAACATGTATCTATTTTGTTTGTTCTCATATACATTACGTCCGGATTACACACATGAAATGCACTTTATATAATAAAGTTAAATCAGTGCTCAGGTTTTCTAGACAATCTAACTCTTTGTCGGTCTCAATAGAAATTATTAGATACCAGCGAAATAGGCTGTAAGACTAACTCGGATGGTGACGGCGCTTTAAGGTTTGTTTTAGCAAGTATGTATCCGAATAGCTTCAGACTCCATTCCCGCTTATCCACAGTGCTGGTTAATATGTACATGCTCAGAGTCCCAAGTTCCGTAAATTTTAGCCAGACAAGTTGATAATTAATCACCTAAATACCTCTTAGCTCTTTAATGATAAACATATTGTTAGATCGAGCGTATCTCACACAATGAGTTTTTTGCTACCAGCACTTGCAGGTTAGGTTGACACTAGCGTAAATCGATTTATGTAAGACTGGTTACGTGTTAGATAATAACAGCACAACCAATACCTCATACCTTCGACAGAACTATCTTTACGAATAACTGTTAGGTAAAAGCAGAGTGTAATTCCAATTTATTAACCAAGTATTTAGCTCAAATCAACGTCAAACGAGACGGGAAGACAAGGTCAAGCACTGTTGGTGGCGTGAGGGTTGACGGTGTTACGTGGATCCCCAAAACTCGGTAGGTGAAGCGATGTTCGAACCCATGACTAACTGGTTTACAGTCATCTCTCTAAACCAATGAGCCACAGTTCCACAGCCTATCATTATGTCAATTCAATGTCAGTTATTCATGTCAGAATCTGTCACCTAAAACCACTCTATAGGATCTAAGAAGCTAAATAATAGAATTGAATCGCTACTACTAGTTGACTTAAATACTTTATGCCATTTATGCATCTTTGTGTATCGTATTTTTTGAAACTATGGAAGCTTGAAACGATGTATAAGTAAGGTCGAAGTTGAATGTTTCAGTCCGTCAACTACTATAAATTAGAATATATTAAGTAAATGAATTTTTCACCTCGTCATCAACAGTTGCCTACGCTCGATACTGAAGATTAGATGGATTGCCAGAAAGAATAAGCAACAAGGAACTCTGGATGGCTGGCTGGCTGGCTGGCAACGAACCAACCAACAACCTATCACTCAACAAATATGCAGAAGAAAGTCGAGATGGATTAGGTTGCGCATACACTCAGAAGGCCGACTGCGACAGCATGCGCCAGGTCAGGTCGTCGAGTGGAATCCAAACGGGAAACGATGAGTTGGGCGTCCGAGGTGAGGGTGACATGGATGAGATCATGTGAGGAAGAAATGAAAGCTTGTTGGTAGTCGTGGTGTCAGGTCCAAAAGACTGCAGAGAAGAGAGTGCAATGGAGGCGTGCTACTGAAGCCCTATGTTCCACTAGGAACCCAAGGGAAAAATAACAATAATAAGCAAATGAATTTTTCATCTAACCATCATTTCGTTAAATGTATTAAAGATTCCAACGAATTTTTTTAATGATGGATAGTAACTAGTAGTGGAACCCAGGACACGGGTTTCTTCCCATTTTGGACTCGTCAGCTGGATGTACCTACCTCCCACTGAGCGATGTTATCCTCACTAGGAGTTGAATTCAGGACCGACCGCTCCAAACGTCAGAGAGTTATCCACTAGACCACCGAGTTATGATATCCACTTCTCGTTCGACGGGCATAATTTTAATATTGTTGTTTCTTAGAATTTATTGGATGCTGTTAATAATTATTATGAATATGCGAAAATCATCACAGAATTCCCCTTAATGATAATCTTTGTTACACTTTTTTAATGTGTACAACTAAAATTAAACTGAGATGGCTCAACAGACTCAGTGGCTCAATGATAACATGCTGGTCACGTAACCTGAGGACCCTGGGTTCGGTCCCTGGCGAGGTCGAGGGTGCGCACTGCTGAGGAGTCCTATACTGGGACGAGACAGCTGTCTAGTGATCCCAGATCTCCACTCTTTCTTCAACTGATGTCAGTCCATGACGAATACACACTTGGCATCAACAAAAATCAAAAAATGCATCGAAAAGAAATATCTAACCTTTGCTTGCTTTAATGCATTTTCCAAAGCTTTATTAACACGATTCAAATTTTCATTTAAAGATGAAGATTTCTTTTGTTCAGTTTTAAGTGATTCTTGAACTTGAGATAATTTTGATGTTAATGTAGTAATACGCGACTCATCAGTTGATTGTTTTTAAGCAGAGTATCAATTCGTTCACGAGCTGAAGTTAAATCCTAAAAAAGAAAAGAATGAACTGGGTTTGACATCATAGCAATCTATGAATATTTCAGAGGTGAGATAGCCAATAAAGAATAACTTACTCCTCAAGTCAATGGCTTGATTGTTGTTGAAAACGAACAGTGACGTTTACAGATCGACTCCCAAAATACCTTTCACTAACCTTCAAGAAAGGATGACATCATATCAACAAAAATGATTGTTGACCCTCATCTGTTTTGTAATTTACAATGTACAAATTTAAACTGGCGATTTCGGCGTCCATTTTAGACTACTGTAAAGTCAATCATTTTCGATCCTTATGAGTTTAACTGTCTCTCCATTGGCTTTGCGTATCATTTTCGGTATGCTGTTTACTGTGCCTGTCTCAAGAATATCATCATATGTAAACCAATATCGCACCCTAAATACACCTTTTTGCGAAGAGTAATTTATGAATGGAGTTTATTTAGTGCGAGCATTCAGTTCCATATCGCTTAGTATAGACAATCATTGAATGTAATAGAGGTGGAAATTACCAAACTATACGGTAGACTGAGAGCTATACACCTTTTGTTTCTGGAGAACTGTATTATTTGATTGTTCAAAAACCAACTGAAAACGTGAGTTCAAGGCATAGACAGATCAGGGTAGATGACTAATAATCACCATGACATTCAAGTTCATTATATTCAATCATTTAGAAAACTGACGTACAACTTTAAACTCCTGTTGCTTAATAACAGGTGTTAAAGTACACAGTAATATAAACGCACTTACAAGATTTCATGCTGTCACCTTACTGTTGTTGTTTTTGGAATATTTTGGGCAAAGTTATCTCCATTGCTCGAGATCAAGTGAAATTATCACTGCTGATTAATCAGACAATTAGCGTACACAGGGTCTTCTAATATCTGATAAAGGAACTATGTCTAAGTTCAAGAGGATTTGAAATTTGTATTTCCACTCCTGTTATAAGACATGAAGCGATTATTGGGTTTTGATCACAGATGTCTTCGTAGAATTGGTCACGTTTAGTGGAATCGCCGTGTGAGCAATGTTAAGGTCAAGAGAATGGCACTAGGGAAGACAGGTAAGTCGATTGATGAGGTTTTGAACCTTAGTCGACTGAGTTGGCTTGGGCATATACTACGCATGCCGAGTCATCGCCTACCTCAACGTCCCATGCTAGGGGAAGCTGGACTAGATTAGAAAAAGGTTCAGGGTGGCCGGACCAAAACATGGTACCAGTCAATGAAGTCTCTCACTGTTGACCTGAATCGTGTACATACGGAGATGTAGACTGTATGGTATGGTTAGGGTCTTGGAGGTGAAAGGAATCAGTGGTTGAGGACTCTTGATGACATGGCTGAGAATGACCTGTCATAATGTGGCGCAGATGTAGTCACTCCTTGTGACATATAAGGCTTGAATATATACACTGACTGTTAACTTTAGATTGTTATTTTGTTGCACAAGTTTATCTACTTTGATATCACTCATTTTTTATCTACCTGTTCTTTGTGTAGTACTGTGAGTTGTGGCAATTTGTGTCGATGCATTTATGTGCAAGGATGTACATTGATTTTTTAGTCAGTCAGTCATTCACTCTGTCAGCAACTTAAACAATGGCACCATTCTCAGTACCACTGAGAATCAACTTAAGCTAAAGACAGTGTCATTTTATCTCCAGAGACTCATATTTTCCACTCTTCAAAAACAAAGTCTAGAATTATGCATTCCAACAGTTGTCATAGAATTTTAATGTTTTATGATCGAAAAATATTTGTTGATAATTCATGTCCTCGCCTGAAAATTTATAAATAGTCCTACTGAATGATTAACTACAATGAAATTTATCGCGGCGTATTATTATGATGCTCAAATAAGCATAAACAAAAATTTACGCCAAGTAGACAACGAGAACCCAAACCTTTTGAAGATGTCCCACATTGGATTTTTCATGTGAATCATTTCTCTGTGTTGACGCTTTACGAGCTTGCTTCTTCGGGGAAGATTTGTCGTTAACATCGATGTGTTCATTTTCATTTGCTGCTTGCCGTTGGTGTTGTTGTTCTAAATTATTCGAGTTAATTATACGGCTTATTTTACACTCAAGACTATGAACTTGTTGTTCTAACTGCATTCGTTTCTGTTCACTCTATTAAATCAAAATAAGATAAATAAGGATAATTACCAACACAAAAGATTTGTCAAAGACAGCGAATAAAAACTGTATTTTAAAAGTATTACTCAGATATGATACTTCCACTGATTGACGAAGGATACTTGTAGTTCACATCAAAATTTAAAACTATACACCAATTTTCACCTAACCAAATCAAGGTAAGCTGAAAATATTTCAACCGTTACACTCACTTCAGAAGTGATCTTGCTTTCAAAATCCATATCTGACCAACGCGAATCGAATTCCCAATATGTATCAGCTTACTTGGTTAAATACATAAAAATGCTTAACTTGACTTATTGATAACGCACTTAGTTATATCAAGCTTTATACAACCACACATGTCATACAACCTGAGAATCCAGTAGAAAGTGAAGATATGTTACCATTCTGTCACATTTTGATTATAGTTCACACAAATTATACTAACACTGCTAATAAATCCTAACAAAAAAGAGCCTAGATGTGTACACAAACAAACTCAAGTCATCCTATATGTACAAAAGCGAAATATTATTGAGTTATTAAGCCCTCTTACTCCATTATACTCATCGGTCATTAGATTTTGATGTACGACACTCATCACGAGTGAGTAATTAACTTAAACAATCAATAGTCGATCATTTTTGTAAGTAACAGTAATACTGTAGTCATACGGAATATAATAAAACGTTAGTAATCTACTCAGAAATGGTCCCTCGGTAGTATCTAGAGAGTAAGACACAGTTAGCTGTAACGATATCTCCAACTGTGTATCTATCTCATGTTTTTTCCCAAAATCAACTGTTTTAGTTCCCTTGTACGAATTATCGAGTTTGCAAAACAATTACTTGTGACTGGGAGTACTTCAAGGTGTTTTTCTCAATCCGATAAACTTCTACGGGGAAATTTTTGAAATACTAAGGTACAACAAATTGATCAAAGCTTAGTAGAGGCAGGGAAGTGTAAACTCGAGATTGATTTCATCTGTTTGTAGTGTTTTTAACATAGACTGTATAGATATTATCGGTTTAGATACGGGTATTCTTCGAATTGGTACTGTGTGACGCAACGTTTTCAGTGACATTCTATTTATCAGCTTCAATTAAAAATATCATCTGCTTGTAGGGAGATTTTTTCTAAAAGTACCAATAGACCGATATTTTTGACCATGGAAAGCAATTCGTGGCGTAGAAAATATGAATCTTAACCATTTAGGCAATCATATCCTCAAGATACCTACCACAAAAACATCTTTGAAGCTGATGCTAACACCATTTTTCTATTCAAATTCGTTTCCAATGAACCTGTAAAGGTATCTATGCAGCATAATTACTGCCACTATCAGCTACAATGCATATCTACAATGTCACTTGCTCATTTAAATTGGTTATACAGGTCGCAAAAACAGTGAACGCTTCTTAAATGCATTTACGGGCGTTATCCAGTGCAATGACACCTTAACACCCAGCCATGTCTAATCATTGGTGGCGAGCCATTGGATATAGTCGAAAAGTCTATGTATCTTGGTGGTTGTGTGAGTGCTGGTGGAAATGTATGATGAAATTTCCGACTGCATATCGAAAGTCAGAGTGGCATACGTCAATCTAGGCCACCTTTGGCGCCGTCGCAACGTTAGTTTGACCGTAAAAGGTCGGGTTTACAACACTTCAGTGTCACCAGTTCTGTTCTACGCCTGTGAAGCTTGGTCTTTCAGAGCTGAGGACACGCGATGACTCTGTGCATTCAATTATCGTTGTCTCCATAGGTATCCGGTGGCAACACCATGTAATTAATCCTGAGGTACGACAGTGTGTGTTTGGGCATGACAGAGACGGTCATTCAATGAGTGAAGTCATTTGCAAATACCAACTTCCGTGGTATCGACATGAGTTACGCGTGTCGTCTCAACGGCTTCCATATCACCCACTGTTTGCTAGCCCTGGGACCGGATGGAAGAAGCGGAGGGTGGTCAGTGTATGGCATGAGGCCGTGGGATTAAGAATAGTTGTGCCGGGTTAGCATCTGTTGGTGCATCACGACTCTCTGGGTGGGGTCCGGAGACCATGCAACTCAGTGGCTTGAGACGTGATCAGATATGGCTCAGAATCAGAACCAGTGGCGGTCATGCTGTAGCTTCTTTTTATCTTCTGCTGCTGAAAAGTAATGAATGTTCCGTTCCAAATCTATCTTACTGGACTGCCCTCCTAATCATGCTATTCTTGTGGCTTTACTTACTTATCCTCTTCCCATCGTTGATGTCTTCACAATGTTGTGATACTATTTTGTAAGGCACATTTCTTGATGCCTTTGCCGTACTATGTTGGCGTCTCAATAAATAAATAAATAAAACTAAACAACATCAGAATCCTCCTTTGAAATTATCCACTAACTCAAGAAAAAACCGTTCAAAATAATTAAAGACTCGTAATCTAAAAGCTCTACTGTGAACTCTATATTCGAAAGCAGTATTTTCAATTTCATAATTTGCTATGGTTTCAATTTTCTTTCTGTTTTTCTGACTTGAGAATTAGTTACACATTTACTACTTTCACTTTTATTATAATGCTTGTGTTTTTCTTCCTATTCTTTACATCCATTAAGTGGATACTCAGCTATCTTACTTTAAAAGTACACGAATTCACTCTTTTATCAAATACTTACTCACATTTTGATTATTCTCTACTTTGGACTTCCATCTATTTACTAATTTCCTTTCTTTTCATTCTTGATATGATTAAAACTCCTTTTTTTATCAGCCCGCTTATTTTTTTACTGTGCTATTCACTTGTTTTTCCAACAAGAACTCTGTAAACAAAGTTATATACAACAGCTGTATATAATATTTGCTCCCACTATGTGCAGATTAGCTGGAGCTAGGTGAAGTTGATAAGGAAGTTGTAAGTACTTCACTGTTTCTAACAGCAAGTAAATGTAAGCTATCGAGTATATCATAACTTAACACTTGGATACAATTCCTATCTGGTCGAGTTATGCACTTTTCTGGTGATTACTTTCGTAACTCTACGCTTATCAGACAGTGATCTATCGTCATCCCAAGAAATAACTCCTTCTTCTACTACTAAACATCGTGTTATTCACATAACCCCCACTTGTAAATCAATAACACTGTTACCTGCTTGTGATAAATATATGATTGAACATCTTTACAAAATAGCATAGAAGAATATTCACTTGGTAGAAGTGTTTTATTTATATCATCAATTTTGAAGGATACAATTTGTAGCTATCAACCTTACCACATCGACTAGTTATGTTAATCTTTGTCAGTTGGAGTTTAACCGGTGGATTTTTTAATTGATGGATTTTAAATGCAAGCTCAGTACAATATGAACATCAAGAAATATGTCATACAAGATAATAAAACAAATATCGTGAAGAAGAACCGAAAAGAGCCAAACAAACAGTAGACAGGTAGTTGGTTGAACAAGATGCCGCTAAAAAAGCTTCATAACATCTGTGTTACTTTTCAAAAATAAAGGACAACAAAACTACGTGGTTTCAACTTCGAACCATATATGATGAAACCGAGCCGCATTATCTCAGACCCCAACCCAAGGAGTCTTTAGATACCAAAAGACCCAAACCCAACACAAATATCTTTCACCTCACAGTGAGTTTGATGAGAAGACAGTTCTTAAAATGGGTTCATATTGCTGCATATATTATTTAAATGAAATGCACCTACCTGAGCATATTTAATAACCACAGCCTCTTTCTCTCGCTTATAAGTTTCCGCTAAGTTTTTTGCCTGAATCCACCTCCCACGCAGTTCACCTGGGGTTACTTGATTGCTTTCTTTAACCCCGTTAGCATGCTGAGTGGTTCCGATCCATATACGTTTCTCTTCTAAAAGCCGATCAACTTGATCTTGTGTAGCCAGAAGTTTACATGTTAACGTTTCAATCTGTTTGTGAAGTAGGAAATTATCAGATAGATTAATGTCATTGTTTTTCAAGTCTTTATTATCCAAAATATGTTTTACAGGTTCACAACTGGGAAGGTCGTATGAGATTTCTCCCTGAAGTAATTCACAAGTCGAAAGGGTATCATTAGCGTCACCGGCTGATGACAAAGATTTAAAAATGGTATCTGTTGAAAGATGATCAGAAGTGGAGTGTTGTACTTTGTTTTCAAGTTGTGGTGATGTGATTTCGAATGGAAGCAAATCCTTTTGATTGGTTTCCTGGTTTAATTTGACTAAGTTAACTAGGGGTAAATCTGCTGTTCGAGAGTCAGGAAATAGGTCCGAACCAACACTACTAGGTTCAGATTCAAAATTGTCGGTAACTTCAGCGGCTGTATTTATGTCGTCTGGGAATAAATGATGCAGACTTTCAGTTTCACAGTTTTTAATCACAAGTTTAGAAGGACTTTCACAAACTGCTCTGCTAATACTTTCATATTTCATACTTCTGAACGGTGATGTACGTTGGTCTTTATGTTTATCATCAAAATTGGATGAATCAGCTAGGGGTTTCAGATCAGATGGCGTACAAACAGATAGGGAAATATCTGCCTCGGAACAGTTATCTTTTACGACATGCTGTGCAGGTAACTTCTTGTCATCAATGTAATCTTCCTTAAGCATCCTAGAAAAAATGTTTCAGAACAGATAAACCAGGCATGATACGGCCGACAAATACACATCTAAAAACGAAATACTGATGAAAGAAGGTGTTTGAAATATAAACTTAGTGAGGAAATTAAATGTGTATGATGGCATCAAGGTAGAAATTCGCTCAATTTCCACAAGTAATACAAGCTGGGTACCGATCTACATACCGATTAAATTCTGCTGGCCTGATCCTATTAAAAATTATCTCCATGAGATGGAAGACAGGAACTGTTGGGCCTAAACATTTATTAGCAACTCGGTGACATATGATTTAAAAAGCTGATATAGAGTCATTTCAACAAATAATCCACAAGTGATAAAGACGAAAACATAAATGAATAATTATGCGCCCAAAACTCATCAAAAGGTCCATTATTTACCAAGTGGTTCTTTTATTAATCTATCTACCGTTAACTGAGTACTTGAAAACAGCTAATAATATTAGTGACATTCCATTAATGTTGGTAACGGGTTGTGAAAAGACTATGCATTATTTCAGCTTATATTTAATGATAATGTCATGGAATGGAAAATGCAATAATTAATGTAAGATAAAAGTGAATAATACACGACGAATAATCGAAAGAATGAATGTAAGCCATATGAATATTATTCCATCTACGTAATTCAAATGCCTGAGAAGGAAGCATAAGACCCTACTGTTTTGTGATCGCGTTACTGAGACTTTATCTTGTTAATTTATCATCTATTTGGGACAAATTTATTACATTATGAACACCAACAAATGAGCCACACAAAATAATATGGCGTTACAAATCGATAAAAAGAAAAGAAAAAACGTAGAGGAATCGTTAGAGAACAATTTTTATAAGTCACCCAAAGAAAAGTTAATTACTTCCGCCTAACTTTTTGACAACAAAAGAAATGAAAAGTTTATAGCATTGATCACTGCTGGTTTGAATTCCAAGCAGTATCTGACAGTATATTCAACCACCAAATCGCATAATTTGAGTTACATCTATAGTCGCGATTCACCAACAGATGCTAACCATGTACGATAGTCTTTATCCCACGTTACAGTGTAACATACTATCTCCCTCTTTGTTCTAACCAGTCTATGATCTAGTAAAAACTGAGAAGTATGAAATCCGTTAGCAAATAATTTACCTTCCAGTATCGCTGTGAACAATCTGGAAATAGGAGAGTTTGACGACGCTTTGTTGAACCATTAGCAAAGTTTGTGGTAGGAAGGTTAAAGTTACTGATCGAAAATGTACGGTTCAACTTTGTTTGCACTGAGTTCCTTTAGGCACAGACTACATGCTTATTGAAAGACAAACAGTGAGCGGTAGACTGCCCCCAAAACAGCCTTTGATAATGGCTCCAGAAATATAGGCGATGGCGGATTGACAGACCACATAACTGTATGAAGACTGCAGATCCAGCTTTCCTTTCATATGTTATCCTGTAGGTCTATCAGTATGTATATGAAGGTCTAGTGCAATATCTTTTTCCGAACTTTACAAAACAGTTTTCGCTTTGCTTAGGAGACGAAGTAGCTCTAAAAAACCCACTTCTGAAGAAGTGTCTACTTTCAGTAAACGATAGGTAGTACTTTGAAGTGTAGTATTACTCAACTTGATAATTATCTCTACGAAGTCATGTCAACCACAACTTCCTTTTAACTCTAAAAATTTTTGTTAGGAATGACACGTTAATATACAGATTAACTAAAAGGGGACTTAATACTGACATGCGATCATCCGTTCCATACTATCTTTCAAAAGGAGAGTTTTCCGTTGATGATAAGCATGCTTACTACAAGGTTGTTAACTTCAAAAGTTAAGTTCGTTTATTGTTAAGCAGATATGGAGGAGACAATCATGTCATACGAAATTTTAAGAAAGGACTTTGGACTTGATTTTTTCTTTACTACTAGGTTGGAACACCTTAGAAGACAACCGAAAATTACAAAAGCCAAGTGTGAACCTCATCACAGTAGAGTAGTCATTTTCGCATCTAATAATCATCCCTTAGGACCGACTCACTAGCCGATTCACTCAACAGAGGAAAAAGCATAGGCCGTCTTCTATCCTCCATATGAAATCTGAGTTGAAATTTCTCAGTTGGTGTTTCCACTGTTTTTCTCGAAAAGTTTTCGGGTTACATTTTCGGTTAGCGATTTAGCATCAGTGTGGGACCTGATTAACGGTTGTTGTTAAACTTCATGCCACCGCATCGAGAGAGGTGCCAAGATGAAGGGCACAGAAGTAAAGAAGAAAATAACCAAAAGTAGTAAAGTTGTAAAAAGAGGAGAGGAAGAAAAAAATAATGGGTAACGTCGACATTTTGCAACCCAAATTTAAGTGACCTTGCATGCGCGCGTTCCCAGCTAGTATTTGGAATTTCAACTAATGGGTAACTGTTTCTAGCCCCTCTCCACCTACCGAGGTTTGGGCAGCCAGGTCGTTTCACTAGTCCTCAAACAATAGGTGTGGTACATTGCCTACTGCACGAATGTGCACAAGGTTGCTGGGTCCATTTCGATTCCGACTTTATAGTATTTTGACGGGCGACTTTAAAGGTCACTATGGCAATAATCAAAATAACCAATAGGTTTCTTCATCTCGTCTGGAAAGGCAGATTTTCATAAAATACAGAAGCCTGATTGGTTGTTTTAGTTGTTGCTAGGGTGGCCTTTAAAGTCGCCCATTTTGACGTTGTAATTTCGAGTGATAAGAATTTAGATTACTGTTTAAGTAGTGGGTTTGTTTCAAAAATGAATTTCTGTATATTTGGACTATTGGATGATAACACAAACTTACTCTAATACGGTAGACAAAATGACATTAAACTATAAGTGATGCAGACAACGTTCTATTCCGAAAGATATCATTTGTTGTTTTGTTGCCTTAAAATCCACTTAAGGTACTTTTTCGCTCATTCCCACTTACTATATAGCAATACCTTGTCTGTGTGTCACGAATAAAATGAAAGAAAAGGCGTTAGAGCATGTGAAGTATTGACAGATAACTCTAAAAGTGTGGTGTCACTATTGTAGAGATGTATATACATGTAAAACGAAACATAGAAAAGTTTGAGTCGATGTAACAACGGAAAGTAGTCTCAAGAAATTAATGGATTAACTCTCTTAAGAAAAGAAATCTTATTTACGAGTTTCTGCATAAAGATTAGTTCGAAATAAGCTATCTCTAAAATAAGAAGACATTTTTTATCGCATATACATGAAAATTAACCTCTGTAACCACCTTTTAATTAACATACTATTTTTCTAATGCTATACGTTTTTTATGAGTCAGACAATGCGTTGTTTACGTACTTTAGCTTGATTGTGTTGCGTGGTAACCTTGGGGTACGAAGTTAATATGTAACAATCAAATTAGCTTTGACAGTTACGATGAAGATAATGTGTGGATACTTGTGTGATTCTGAGCCATTTCATTCAATCTCCAACCAGGGATTACGGTTGTCATATGAACCATGAAATGTACACCACCTCACACGGCTCGCCTTACTTGGAGACTGTACGGACTGATGTCGTTTTATTCTGATCGCCTCTAAACTTCTAGATCAACCACACCCCAGCTAACATTCTATAAGCCAGACGATAACCAAGGATGAATAACACGACCCAGCCCTCGAGTCAATGAAAGTTCAAAACCACAACTGACTTTTTGTACCTGAAACTATGCCAGAATTCCATAATACTGACGTAGTGGCAACATGACACGGCTTGTGCTACAAAGGAAACAGTGTTTGAACACCTGAGATATTCTCATATCTTCTACTTTCAATCACTATGTTTTACAGTTATATATTAGGAAAGAGAGAACTTCAGCGCAGTATACTAGGCCCTTAATTGACAATGGATATCACACCGGTGCTGTATATAGCGTAAGGTGGGAAAAGTCAATCCATCTCTTTGCGAACAAACGGTGACTTCATCAGTCACCGACTCCCCAGAGTGAATCCAACTTCTTAAGTAAATGAAGTGGTCAGCGCACTCAACCGCTTTAATGCATATTGTTAGACAGCGTATTAACGCAGATCACTCCTGCTACAGCCGTTTGCATTTGGTGGTGAGAAACCCCCAAAACAATTTCAAACTGCCAGAAGACTCAGAATCTTGTCAGCACTTTCGCCTACCTAGATCATATCACCTACGTACCCCAGATATGTTTAAGCTCATTCTAAATTAAGGATTAAAAGTGTAAACTTTGACTTCACCGACATTTGCCATTCTTTTACACACTTTCGGCTTCTTGTTCCAAACGCCTTGCATAGGAACTTCGTTGATGAGCAGTTGTGAGGGGATACTTACTCTTTGGAACTTTGGAAAACACAGAAACTCCGGATGTACACAAGAATCGTAATGTATAAGTGTTTTTTCATTCAGGTGAAAGTTCATTAAAGTTCACTTTGTGGCCAGAACAACCAGGAGAGCCACACAAGTCAGCAAACGTTTGCATTTCGCATTTCTTGTTGCCGATTATAGTATGATCAAATGATACATCCAAACTCTCTCTCTCTCTCTGTAAATTTGCTTCATGCACATAGCCTGAACCTTTTGCGACCACTAGACTCTTACATCACTTCTGAAATACTCACCTTATTATAAATACGAACATTACTGTAATGACAAGTCCCAAACGCACCATTTCCAGCAAATGAAATGAAAATGAATTAATCAACTGAGTAAAGATTCTTTTTAGGCCAATTTAAAGAATTCGTGGCGAAGTTTCACGATGGAGGGGCAGTACTGTCTCTCATATTAAGGAGTACATGATTAAACCAAAGGAATCAAATGCATCGTGTCATGAAGTCACTTGTTAAATTATACCGACACAGTACAACAAGAAGCTCAAAAAACCAAAGTGCAACTGAACAAGCATAGCAACAGGCTGATAGCTAATACAGCTTAAGATTTTGAATAATGAATGAACGTGGTACTATTAGGTAGGGTATCAAGGAGGTGAGACAACATATTAACG